AGCAAGCAGTAGCAATGGCGATGGCACCAACAGTCTGTCTTCTTTCTGTCCTTCATCCAGGCTACTCACTCTTTTTTTTTTTTTTTTAAACCAGTACCAGGGATCGAACTCACGACCACTTACCTGCAAGGCAGGTGTTTATGCCACTAAGCTAAATTCCCAGCCCCAAGGCTACTCACTCTTAGCTAGTACCACCCACACTCAGTTTCACTTCCTTAATTCCAACATCACAACTGTAATCCCAGCAATACACACTGGATCCAGCCACCTCCAAAAAGTCCCACTGATGACTTCATAAGGCTTTGGGAGAATATATAGATACAAGGCATAAGAAAGCCCTACAAACAAGTAAATACTTGAAAGAATATGTGCAGGGAAACAGAAGAATGCAGTGGAGGTATAGGTCCACAGGAACCTATAGGAACATTTCCAGAGTTGCCACTCTTCCTCTTAGTACTCCAAATCTAAAACACCCCTGTTCAGAGTTGGAACACACGTTAGAATTGCCCTTGATTCTTCTCACAGTACAATATCCTTTGAAGAGCTATAGATACTTCAGTAAAAAAGATTACCTATATTCCAGTTGGAAAAAGCTGACAGGGCAGAACAGGTAAGGAGAGAGTAAGGGTAATTTATCCTAAACAGTGTTATCTACCAAGAGGCAAAAGGGGACTTTAGGTGGTCTACAACTGAGAATTACCTAAGATTATCAGAAACAGCAAAAAAATACACAAGTATGAAGGGATGGCAGTTTATAATAAATATGAGGAAACAAAGGTACTTTACAGCTTAGAAATCTTCCTAATTGCATTTTATATATCTGTGGCACATGCTCATGCATGTATACAAACATTCTTTTATAATAACTGTGAAAAGTACTAAGAACTCACACAAAAGAAAACATTTCTACTTTATTAAAGTGATTCATCAAAAGATACATTACAGGGGCTGGGGATTTAGCTCAGCGGCATAAGCGCCTGCCTTGCAAGCAGGCAGTCATGAGTTCGATCCCTGGTACCGATAAAAAGGAAAAAGACATAGCTTGGTAGCTATGTAAAAGTACATCTTGTTTATGAAATATAAGTGTCAGTAATAACACAAATAGTGCCAGGCAAATATTAAGACTAGACTATTGCCAAGTTGCTATTGCCAGGCATGAATTGAAAGAAACAAACCAAGAAAAACATTTGAACTTCTGCAGACAGTTCAAGGATATAAAACAAAAAACAAAAGAGAGGCACTGAGTCCACTCTTGAATTATTACCACCTGGCTCTAGCAGAATGAACCAAATATTCAGTCTAGTGAAACAGATGAGTGACTTCATGTCTCACATGTGACAACAGCTAAAAAGCACAATCAAAGCTAAAAATCTATTACGCTTGCAATGAAGATATGCACTAGTGCACTCCTAAAGGACAAGAGAGAACATGTAAGCTGTTATACAGTGCCTGCATGCTGAGGGAGCATAAATAAAAATAAACACAGTGCAGCAGGAGACACATGTTAACGAAAGCTTTCAAACCATGCTGTGTTACACCATTATCACTGACTCGAGCCTCAGCATCTTATCAGGGTACAGAACTGCTGGCTCAGTCAGATTTCTAGACCCTGCTTAATAATTTATGAAGCAAAACCATCAATTTCACTGGATAGGTCCTTTTATATATTATTTTTTTATCAGTACAGGTTTGTAGCACACAATGATTATGTTTCTTGTGGCGAGTCGGCACATGTACATAACACACCTTAATTCTCTTTTCATACCCCCCATTCGTCTTAGTCTCCCCTAAACTCATTCATTTGAAATCTAGCTTAGGATATTTCTGATTGGGATTCCTAAAGGTCCTTCTGGCTCTTAAAATTTAATGCTTTATTAACCAGAAATTTTTAAGAGTCCATGGTTTCAGTACAGAAATAATGGTGGGTTAGCTGTTACTTCAACTTTTTACTTTGAAGAAGCAGAGTTGTACAAGTTCGCACTTTAAAAAAGTCTATCTCCCTATTTCCTATTACCTATCTTTTATTTCACACTTCATATTTTTGGGTTTCTCATAAAAGAGAAGCCATGAGATACTTACGCATGTATGTGTGGGTACCTACTATGGCATCTGGGTTCACAGACACTTGTTTGCAAACAATCCAGTTAACAAACAGCAGCCTTTGGCAAAATTTTGTTTCTGTGTGCAGACTCTGCGTCAGTGCCAAATATGGCCACAGCTATCTTTCCCACACAAACACAAATGTGCCCATCTTTTCCAAAAACCAGAACAATTACATTCTTCACTCTAGGTACCACTGTACTTCTTTGAAGTCAAAAACAGAAGTAACAGCAAACCCACCACTACTTTTGTGCTGAACCCATGGACTCTTAAGATTTCTGGTTTATGAAGGACTGAATTTTAAGAGTCAGAAAAGCATCCAGGAATTCTAATCTAATTCTATCCCAAGCTAGATTCTAAATGAATGAATTTAGTAAAGATTCAGCATGAGTTTTCCACATTCAAGACTCAGTGCTGCTTGCTGAGGGTGACATAGATCTGACACCACACCTCAAGGATTCTATAGGATAGAAAAAGCTCCAAGGATTATAGGCTGTGGAACAGATTATCCTCCCATTACAAGATAGAGAGAAAATCTTATTAAAAAAATAAAGTCTTGCAGCATGATAAACTACTTCAGTAAATGAGTAAATTCTGAGCCAAGCCTAGATCAGACATGAACTTTTTGAGATCAAGTGCCCAAAAACATCCCAAAACTCCCTTATTTACCGCAAAGTGCCAACACTGCGACTCAACCTGATTGCTTGGCTACTGGAGCAACATGTCTGCAGGCACAGCTGCCCTGCTTGTCTGTCGCAGCACACAGGCCACTGGCTGAGATCAAGGTGTTCGATTTGGATATTTGGCAATTAAAGAAGAAATTTCAGGCAGTGAGAACAGAAAGTATTTGACTTTTCAAGACACATCTGCTCATCAATGCCAGTCAGTTCCTCAAACAGGTATCCTCTCCTCGGGGCCTTTGCTTGTGCTGCTTCCTGGAATGTTCTTCCTCGATCTATCTTCAAAACTGGTTTTAACTCCTTCAAATCTTGGTCTCTATGAGGGAATGTTCTTCCCCGATCTACCTTCAAACCTGGTTTTATCTCTTCAAGTCTTGGTCTCTACCAGAACTTCCCTGGCTACTTTGTTTCAAATAGCTATCCTAACACTGTCTACCATTTTGCCCTGCCTTATTTTTCACATGGCATTTATGTTAGCCAGTGTGCTATTTGCTCTACTATACTTTCTACAGGCTGTGTCCACACCCCTTCCCCACGAGGCATTAATCTGTTTGTTCATTTCAATGCCTAAACCTAATAGGTTGTTGACAAAATGATTGACAGATTACTGACTAGAAGAAGTAAATATGTAGATTATCTGTTATTCCCAAACTACACTTCACAAAATCCAATTTATAAAGAATACCATACAGCAACAGTTTCTGGCATCTCACTTCTATATAGTCAGTTGATCGTTCGGCACTTTCTAGTTCTAAAACTCAAGAACCACTGTCACTCACAAAACAGACAAAAATGCCACCAGAGTGTTCACTGCTGCCATGGCTGCCCTTTCCCACATTAACCTTCACTACTGTCAGGCAAGAGAGAGCTGTAGTCCTAGATTTTCATATTAAATCTGTATTTCAACAGTTACAGTCAACGCTACTGTGGTTACACTGTTATCGTGGATTAGCCAGAGAATCTTCTGTTTTGAATAATGTTTAACTGCGAAATTTAGATACAGAAAAAGTAAATTTTTAAATTCAATTTCATTGTTGAAGCATGTGTTTTCTACACTGCAAATGAATGGGCCTGGTAAAACGTTTAAGAGAAAGATTCCTTCAACGAAGGTTAGGAGCATGTTAAGGAAATGAACAATAAAATTAAAGGCATTTTTCCACTGAAAAAGATCAAGTCGAATTTTATTCTGTATTTAAAAGCTGCATAGAATTTTCAAAAGGAGCATTAGTATTTAGGTCATACTAAATTAAAATCACATGGCCCTAGGGGAAAATATTCTTTATCACCAGCAAAACCAAAACTACATAACGAAATAAAGAATAAGTTCAAGACTTCACACTTCACCTAAGTGCTCCCCGGACTGCATTATCATTTTAGACAAACTGACATTTTCACATTTAATTTTCAATGGCAGTAATGATTTCCATCTGGGTTTTAACTGCATGAAAGTGTTAGTCTTGGCACAGTTTTCGACACTGAAAATTCATTTCCGGCTTAAACAATATGCCCCAATCCAACACAATACTTACACTGCAAATTAATCCTACCTCTGTGAGCCCAATTTTATGATTTACCTAGTGGTAAATTCTGCCCTCAGGTAAGCATGTCGTATAACCCTTTCTCCACTATTTATAAATTTAATTTTCACTACTTTAAAACCTCCTGCATTTACCAATATTTACAGTTCTAAGACAGAACTGTATTGTTTACAGGAAGAAAACTGAAACAGCCAAGTCTCTTCCGTTACATAGTAATGACAATCAGAAGCAGACACCGCAACTGTCAGGTGCAGCACCAGTTCCCGCCGGTGAACGGCGATTCCCAGCTGACAGGAGCTGATCTCCACCAGTCACAGGGCCGCGGTCCCGGCGCGGGGACAGCACAGAGACAGCACGCAGGCCGCCCAAGTTCCCCGCTCCTCGCGGGGCGGGCCGGGGCACAGAGCGGCGGCCCGGGCGCCAGGCGGGCGGGAGGCGGCCCTCCCGGACCGCAGCTAGAGTGCTGCAGCGCAAGGCGGAGCGGGCGGGACACGGGCGCGGTGGCTGAGGCGGCCCGACCCCAGGCCCACCCAAGCAGCCGGGAACGCAGCCCCGCAGGGACACGGCGGCGACGAGGCAGCCGATGACAAGCGCTGAGAGCCGTGGCGCCCCGAGGGTCGCGCGGAGGGAGCCGCCCGGTGCCAACGACTCCGCTCGCCCGAAGCGGCGGCCCGATACTCACGTAGGGCTGGTAGAACTTGGAGAGCCGCGGCTTTCCGTGGTTGTTGAAGATGAGAATCGCCTTGATCATGGCTGGGCCGGCCGACCAGATGGGCGCTGGGGCCAGGGCGGGCGGGCACGCGAGCCGCGCCACGGGAGCTCGGCGATCCTTCCCCACCCGCCCCTCCGTGCGCGCCCCCGAGCTATAGGGCGGGGAAGGGGCGAGGCAGGGGTGGTGCAGACCAGGAGAGAAGCGGAAACGTGGCTTAGCTTAGTCCACTTGTCCAAGTCTAGGGGTGTCCACTACTTGACGACCATGCAGACGTTGTTCGTAAGGTGCGTTCTAAAGATTGATATATCGGTAAATCACTCTTTTTCAAATTCATGGTTGAATATCTGAGGTAAGTCAGACTTGAATAATGATCTTGTCACTTCCATGCCCACTATGGAGCTGGGTTCCCTACTCTCAAGGCTCTCTTGCGACATTCCCCAGCGCAAAGCCCGCCCACTGCACGCGCTCTGCCTCCACTTCCGGCTTGGCGCCGCTCCCGGGAAGATGGCGGAGGATCCCGAGTCCGTGCTGCAGCTCCCTCCCTCGGCTGTGGCTGCTGGCGGCGAGGGTCTTGGGGAACTGTCTCCCGAAACAGCCACACCAGAGCCCCCTTCTGCTGCAGTTTCGCCGGGGACGGAAGAACCTGCCGGCGACACCAAGAAAAAAAGTAATTTTCAGGGTAGTTTCTGAGTAAGAGGCGGGTGGTTTAGTTTCATCCCTAAAGGTGGCTTCGAATAAGGAAACAAAATTTAGAGGAGGGTGCGTCCCAGACGTATGTTGTCAATTTCCAAGCCTGGTTGAGATGAGCGGAGAAAGCCCCCTTTGGTCGCAGCACCTTCGCGCCTAGGTAGGCTCGGTCAGTGCCGCGTACTTGGTGCCCTGGCCCCTTGCGATGTATTGACCCCTTGCGGTGTATTCGCGTCCCCCTGTGAGTGGGTCAGACCGCAAAAGCTTAGGCGTCAGAGGTGAGCGGCATCCAAGTCCTTAATCCTGGAGCCAGTTATTCCAATAATGGTAAGGTGGTGAGAAGGGCAGAGCGTGGAATTGTCTTCTCACTGGTTCACTCTCCCCCTCCGCTGAACATCAGTTCACTCTTGGAACCAAAAAATTGCAATTTAAACTAGTACGAGGAATGTTAAGGGGGCTATGCACATGCACGGCACACGCTCTTAAGACACTTGGAAGGCAGAGGAATTAGAACTGCGAGTTCCAAACCAGCCTGGACTACGCAGCGAGACCTGTTCTAAAAGGGGTGAGGTCGTAGCTCTGTGACAGAGCGCTCACTTAATATATGTGAAGACGCGGGTTCAATTCCCTGACCACCCAACACACAATGCTAAGAGAAAAGTAAAAGCATAAGCATTACCTTCAAAAAATACTATTCTGGAATATTTGTTATTTTTTTTTAAACTGGCCTTTATTGCCTGGAAGAGTTTCCCGATAGAAATTGAAGGTTTTGGGGGTTTTGTTTTTTTGGTATCTGGGATTGAACTCTAACTCAAGACTTCCGCGCTTGCCAGGCAGGCACTTAATGCCACTGAGCTAAACCCCCGACCCCAGTTGAAGAATTTTTTTGAGGTTCCTTGTCCGGAACATTCTAGAGTCAGAGTTTTCTGTGAAAAGATAGCAAATAAACATCTTCGAATTAAAGAAGTTGACGTTGTGGTAGGTAGTTGTTTTCTCAGTCAAAAGCCTTTTTTTTTTTTTTTTTTTTTTTGCTTTTTGAAGAATATTTACGATAGAGAATAATAGCTAATATATTTTTTATTATCTTCAGAATAGTCAAAGATTCTCTTACAAGGAGAAAACAAGACAAAACTTTTTTTCGGTGAACTAAGAGAAACTAATAGTATCAGCGAGTTAACATACATATTTTTGTTACAGTGGAGTGGTCTGAAGGGGTAGGCGCCTACGTTTTCTGCGCTGTCATCTCAAGGATTATGTTTTCTGCTTTGTAGGGACTTCACAGATCTTCCTCCCATGGTGGAGAAAGACTCATTATCCCAGCTCTTCCCTGCTTGCTTTTCAGTTAGAATTCCTTGAGGCTGGGGAGTGTGATCCGCCTTAGGGGACCTGCCAAACCACTCAAGGCCCTGACTCCAACACTCCTCCAACCCCCAGGGAAAAGAAAATAAATCACACCGCCTTTTCATTTGGGGAAAATGAAGTACCATGACTGTTTGTGGAAGATAAGTCCCTAGAATCTTCAAAACATTACTGTTAAGTTTTAAGATTTTCCTTGAATTTCAGTTTTTTATAAACGGTAGCCCACTTTCAAAGGATATAAGGTCCCAGGTTAGTACTTGACTGTGATTGTGGCTTTATAAAAGATAACAGGGAACAGTGGCCCACAATCCAGATACTCCTGGAGAGCATGTTTTCTTTGATCTGCACAACTCTTTTTGTCATCCGTTTTGGAAGATAATCTAAGGAAAGACACTAAATATTTTATAAATGTTGTATATTCTTTTCCTTTAATTTACAGGAGAGAAATTATTGACTGAGGCTTGTGGCCCTGAAGGACATTTGAAAATGACTTGAGATTTTGAATTGTTGCCAGTACTAAGGTGCTGCTTCCAAAAGATTCCAATTTAATTCATGTGGACATTTGTATTTTAAACATTTCTCCCTTGATTACTTCAATCAAGTCACCTTTAGAATTAAGAAAGATAGCTATAATTACAATACAGTAAATACTTCTCTAGCTTCTTGCTGTCCTACTCTTCAATAGTATAATGTTTGATTGCAGCTAAGTTATATTGATAGCATCAAGGGATTGAGGTTGACAGAGAAGTAAGGTATGAAAGACAAGCTAACCAAAATCTGTTATCTTCAAGTTCATTCCTGTTCCCAAGATAATGGAAAGGAGAATAAGTAATTTCTTAGTGAGAAAGTGTACTATGTGCATTGTGTGTTCTGTGTGCCTGTGTATAGGGTAAATTTGAGCAGTCGATCTCTTTTACTGATGCTTTTCAAAGTTATTACCAAAGGCTGATGCAATAAGGATGTACTATGTAATACAATAAAGTTAACTTGAGGGAGTAGTAGCATAATATTTTGCTTTCCGTATTTATAATTTTAGGTGCTATTTTGTGCCAAGTAACTTTTAAGAGACAAGTTCATAGTCTTTGGAGTTCGCATATCTGTGTTTTAGATTATTGAAACCTTATGATTTCTCTCTGAATCTTCTGACCTGCAGTTGTATTTACTTTTTCTTAATTTTTTTAAAGAAAATAATACCAAAATAAAACAGAATAAAACCAATCAAAACAAACCACTGTAAGTGACACAGGACTTCAAGACAATATGAAGTTACCAATGGTTACCATAGGCTTCTTGTCTTCACAATTGCTTCAAAATCTTAAGACATAGTAAAAATCAAACGAAATAGAACCAAAAAATCAAATGAAACAGAACCAATAAAAACAAAACAATGCAGTAAAGGACTTCAAAGCAAGACAATAGTAAATCCAAAATGGCCATGATAACATACTTGCTATCTTTGAAATAGCTGCCCATGTCATCAGATATAACAAAATCAAAACAAAACAGAATAAAACCCAGCCTGACAAAACATTGAAGATGAGACTGACTTTAAAACAAGGTAATAGGAAATTAACAATGACCGTCACCTTCAAAAAGAGATTCCCCCATAGGTCCCATACTACGCACAGTTATCCTTTGAAAAGATGATCAGACCACTGGTCTTAGACCTGCAAAATCAATGAAACACCAGACACCACAAGCATCAAGTTGCATTTCACCTGGATACTTATCGCAGTCTGTGTTTCTCCACATCAACCGGTCTCTTGGGGATAGCAGTGAGGGAGTGGGTTGACTCTTGTTTCTCAGCCTGCACCCCAGAAAGGGCTGGAGTCTGGCTGTCCCCCCAGCAGCCCACACGTGGCATAGCGCTGATTTACAAGGCTTTTTGATGATTTCTTTTCCCTTGCAGTCTGCAAATAGCCAGTTGTATTTTATTTTTAATGCTATTTCCCTTTACTTAAAAACTAATCGTGGAGTGCTCACTTAAGCACATGTACTAAAAAATTAATCCTAGAAAATTTGGTAGTTCAGGACCGGGATTTAGCTCAGCAGCACAGTGCCTGCCTGGCAAATGTGAGTTCATGAGTTCGATCCCTGGTACAAAAAAGAAAGAAAGAAAACTTGATAGTTACAAAAATTGTAAGTAATGTCAAGTAATAATTGCCTATAATGTTATTACTGAGAAATACAGCCTCCTTAGGCCATTAATTTGGTCCACATTTTGTGGAGATCCAATCCAAAATTGGCTGGCTGCATTGCAGGCAGCATGGCACACCAAAAACAGACCAAGGGAGGAGCAGAGAAGAGACGGAGCCAGGCACACTGCCAGTGACCCACTCTTACCAGACTCCACCTCCTAACAGCAAATCAGTCGCTTTGCAGAAGCCCGGTCTGTGATCACATGAGGCTTTGGGGGCACATTTAGATATAAGCTATAATGTTCTCTTTGGAATTACCTCTTGATGTCAAATGCAGTTTAAAGATGAGTCCCATGGGGAGAACTTTGTAAGATCAAGAAAAAAAAGGAATCTAACGTTTTTACATCTTTGGTTATACCTTCAGAATCATAAATGCCAAAAGCTTATGTAAATTAAAGATTTCAGCCGTTGAACCCTTTTAGATCACATTCTCATTAGCTGTTTATAATAATTGTTTTCCTTTTACAGTTGATGTCCTGCTAAAGGCTGTGGGAGATACCCCTATAATGAAAACAAAGAAGTGGGCTGTAGAACGAACCCGAACAATCCAAGGACTCATTGACTTCATCAAAAAGTTCCTTAAACTTGTGGCCTCTGAACAGTTGGTATAGTGATTGTTTTTCTATAAAAATTCAAAATCGTTCTTAGGCAGCAATGAATATTTTATATATATAAATACACGTGAATGAATGAGCTACTTTTGTTACATTCTTTTGTTTCTCTTTTAGTAGAATTTTGGTAATTTATAGTATGATTTTTTGGGGGAACACTAAAATGAACCAATATAATATAATATGAACCAGTTTTTTCCTCTAGTAATCAAGTTGTAATTTTTAATTTAAGGTACAATTTTTTAAGTTGTAAATTTAATGTCACTGGTTTTTATTTTGGTATTTGTCTCCAAAACTTTATCTTCATGTAGTCATGCACTATTTAACAGTGGGAACATGTTCTGAGAAACACATCACTGTTTTTGGTATATGAACATTGTAGAATACTTATACATACAAACCCAAACTGCCAACCAAAACCAGCAGAAAAAATTGGTTCATATTATATTTTACAGGACCACCATTATATTTGTATCCCTGCCTAAATGTCACTGTGTGACACATTACTTAATGAGAATTTTTTGTTATATTAATACTTTGTGTCAGACACCTTTATTTGTAGGTAATTCATACTCTTGAACAGTATTGATATAGATAACAGGTAAGTGGGTAGATACCTGAAGAATCATTAAGTCTTATGTATGTAAATAATTGGTATATCTTTGCTTGAAAACAAAAGTTAAATAACTACAATTTTAAAAAGATGTAAAAAGAGTGAAATCATTAAAGTGGGATGTTTTCAAAATTATTTTTGTTAGTAAAGAACAAGAAACTGAAACTTTGATCTAACAGTTTGCCTGTGGGTAGGTCTTACAAAAAGGGAAAATTCAACATAGGTTAATCGCCAGAAGTTGTTATTTTAGGCAAGAATAGCATAAACCCAGGAATCCCTCTAAAGTTATTTGGGTAAAGTTTTGGAAATAATTGTTTTACATGTGAACATACCCCTTTATGATCAATCAGAATAATAAAAGCATGTGTTTTCTTGAGTGTCATATGTAATTTAATTGACAGGGAAATGTCACAAATGGTTAAGAGTTTTAGCATTCTCCACATAGCTGTGATAGTGAATATGTAGGAGCAACAAACCTTGCCTAGAGTTCAAGTCCTAATGGAAAAGTCAGAATGAGGACATGCTCTTCAGAGAAATGAGCAGAAGCTGTATCTCTATACTAAAAATGCAACAGGAAGTATTGGTAAGGTCAGTAAGCAGAGTAGTACAATAATTGTAAGGCATTTATATTTGAGAAATACATAGAAATAGAAAAAGCCACACTGTTTCCTGTGTTAATATTTGAATTTTGAGGTTTTGTCATGGTTCTATTCAGTACTCTGAAAAGAACTTAATGTCAGCATGTCTTAGATTAAACCATGTAAATTGCCATTTGGTCACTTCCATAGATTTCCCATCATCTGACTTGTATCTAGCTGCACCCCACGTTATTTTAGCAAAATAGGTGGTTGAAAGAAAAGAATAATGCTGGAAATTCTGGAAACACAGTATCAGAAAATATAGTTGAATCTCTGAATTCCCAAAAAACCTAGTCCTAGAGAGCAAAATCAAAGCACATGCTTAGGGTTTATGAAAACTAGGTGACAAGATAGTCCCATGAACCTCAAACACTGGTGGGAGCTGCAAGACCTGTTTGATACCAGCATATCTACACCAAGGGAAGCTGCAAGCAACACTGAGAAAGAGAACCTCAAAATAGCTAAGAGGTGCTGTTCCTCACAGATTCAATAATAGCATAGGGGCTGAGGATTTAACTCAGTGGTGCAGTACACTGATGCCCTACGTTTGAGCTTCATCGCCCTGAAAAAACAATACCTGAACTGGATATTCTCTCTCCTAACTAGGTAATAACTATCTATACTAAGCAGGACTCAGCTACAGCAGTGTACCCCTGAGGGCTCTCAGAACACACCCAGTAGGACACTCTTTCAGGACAAGACCCCAAATTGGAAAAATGTTTGGGAAATCAAAATTGAGCCAAGTAGAAACTTAAGAAAGGAAGGAAAGGTAAGCACTAGATCTGAGTGAAAGGAAACAGCCCTTTAATGCAAGCCTCCCTATTTTTTAGTGCTATACAAGAACGTAACAGTAGAGGGAGCTCTCAAGTTATAAAAACTATCCTGAACCACTTTATTCCAAAAGTAGAGGTGAACAAATTTCACATAAAAATCAACAGGAATCAGCAGGATTTACCATGGTCAGCAGGAATTAGCGTGGTCAAATCCCACTCAGTGTTACTAAAAAGAGACAATAGCAACCCTCGAGACAGTGAAGTGTTGCCAAGAATAACGATAGATCAGAACTAAAAGGCATTATGAAAACACTAGACATGAAAAAAATTAGCATTAATAAAACAGTGACAGAGCTCAAGAATTATAAATAGAAGGACTATCTCAAATGTAACTAATGTAAACAACAAATAGATAATAGCTTTAAAAAAGGTAGATATTTCAAAAGAAAGGGAAAAGAAAACAAGGAAGAAAAAATGTGAAAGGGGCAGATGTTGTATGGGAGCAGGGTGTTTGGTGGTTTTGTGCATCGCAGTCAGGCTGGCCCGGAACTCCATCATGCGCCTTAGCTTCCTGAATGCTGGATTGCAGGCACGAGCCACCACGCCTGCAAAATACATGTATTTATGGCTTAAAGCCCTTAAACTAACTAAATTCTTTTTTCAATATTTTCACTTTCAGATCCAAGTTTGTGATAGAAAATCACTTTGAGTTCCCTTGGTTCTGCATGTAGTCTGCTGTTCCATAAACTAGCTTTTCCCTTCTGAGTTCTTAACTATCCATATGTCTGTTTCTCCGGTGGATCATAAGTTTGTGAATGGGAAGATTCACAATAATCTTCATAATTCCATACCTTGTTTGGTTTTTAGTATGTCGCAGACACAAATATCTTTTGAAATGAGCTAATCTTCAGGAGGCTTTTCCTTAATTTTCTTGTTGTTGTTATTGTTGTTGTTGTTGTTTGTTATACTAGTGGCTCTCAGAGCCTCTTCTATACTAGGCAAATGCTTTATCAGAACTACCCCCAACCCCAGCACCATTCTAATTGAAAATCTACCAAAAACTGTAAACTCACTCAAAGTTAAAATGGTGGGAACTACAGTAGGGTTTTGAAATTCTCCTTAAAATGCACACTGCTGTTACATTTCTGAAACTTTTGTAATACTTCAACATGAACTATATTTAAACAATTTAACATCTATTGAGTGCATGTATCGGGCACTATTACTTAGTGTGTGTTCTCATTTTTCTTACCTAGCAACAGTAAAAAGTTGCTATTTTCTAAACATGCTGTTTCTAAAATATATTTTCTATATTTTACAAATGACTTTGAATTGGTATTGAGGCATATACTATTTTAAAATAATTTTACAGTAACTACTGTTAACTGTAGGTACAGCCATTCTTAATATGTTCACTTTTTTCTTTCCTAGGAGCTTCAAACTCATTATTTTGCATAATTTTGAAATAATTAAGCCAACAAATGGCACTTGTAAGAGCCAGGATTCAAACCCAGATATGTCTACAGAAATCCTGTATATTTAGTCATCACTTTATTTTCCTATGGAAAAAACACTGTAGTTAATGATCCAAACAGTCTGTCAGCCAGTTATACTGACACTTTTTTTTTTAATGCCCAGGATATTTTAGTATTAGAATTCGGTTATAGATATTAAAAGGCATACTAAATTATCTGTGGATAATTTTTCTAAAAAGAAAATGAAAAAAAATTACTCTATCACTTTGCTCTTTGTAATGAAACATTTTAATGAAAGCAAACTAAACAAATATTAAGCAATAAAACCTTTTAGAAATATTAGGCTTCAATTATGTACATTTCCTTTTTCTTTCCATCATTTTCCTGCAAGGAACTTTGGTGCTACCCAGCCCAAAGATCATTAGGTTTGAAAGTTTTCAAAAGTGGTAAAGGTTTAAAAAAAAAAAATCTGGCCGGTATGTCATACATTTACCCAAAAACAAATGCACAAGTCGGGCGTGGTGGCTCATGCCTGTAATCCCAGCACTCAGGAGGCTGAGGCAAGAGGTTCATTGGGAGTTCAAGACCAGCCTAGGCTACAAAGTGAGCTCAAGGCCAGCCTGAACTGCATAGTGAGACCCTGTCTCAAAAAGACCCAAAAAAGCAAAAACAAATGCACAGAGTATTTTGAATGTTATGTTTATTGACTAGAACAAAAATTCTGAGTTTTTTGATTTTGATATACCTTGAAAAAAAGATGTGATCTTAATAAAGATTCATTTAATGAGTTAGGATTTTAGGGACATTTTCTTCAGTCTGAAGAGATTGAAATAGGTAGATTAGGACGCCAAAAAATGCAGGGTTAAAAATGAATGTTTTTTCTTTCTTGTAGTTTATTTATGTGAATCAATCCTTTGCACCTTCCCCAGACCAGGAAGTTGGAACCCTTTATGAGGTAAAAAGTAACTGCTTTTTTTCTGTTTTTTTTTTTTTTTTTTGTAATGGATTGTCTGTGCTATATAGTACACATCATGTAATGTATAATATTGGCTCATTAAATCATGTAAGAGTAGCATGCCATTCTTAACAAAAAAGGAAAGAAGGAATGACTTTCTGATACTTACTCTATGGTGTGATAATGCTGAGGACATCTTGAACACGATAGGATCCAGTTATTTAGTGTTGAAGAATTAAGATATACCTTGTACTTCAGGGTTGCCTTTTGTTTGTATTTTGAGGAAGTTTTTAATCTACTTTTTTCACTTTTCTGTTTATATGGTCCAAATCCAATCTACCTTCAAGAATTTTTTAAATACTATATAGGAATGACTTTACTCGACATTATTCGAGCTTCCTGGCAATAATCATTAAAGCGACTGCATACCAGTACCACTAGGCAACAGCTCAAAAGAGCATTTTATCATCAGAGATGTAGAAAAGGGGCAAAATTAAAATATTTAAGCCCATTCATACAGAAAATGTTCCAGGGACAGGTTTTTATTAACATGATTATTGGTATGTGTCTGATAGAAATAGACATTTTTGAAAGAAATAGCCTTATGAGTATTTATAGTATATATATTTTAATTTCATGTCAGAATCACAAAAATGCATTTCTTTTTTTCCTTTTTGTAGTGCTTTGGTAGTGATGGTAAACTGGTCCTGCATTACTGCAAATCTCAGGCATGGGGGTGAACCCCAGAGAAAAACAACTTGGAACTCAAGATGATGTTTCGCAAAGGAAATAGCTGTGAAACATGTTGCAGCGGCAAGAGACCTAATGAATATGACCTGCTCAGCCTGTATCTGCTCTGACGTGTGTATGTGCATAAGAAAACCTCCATAGAGTGAATGGATTCACAAAAATATGGGATCAATGTTAATACAGAAATCATCATGGAAGATTGATATTAGAGTGTGTCCTTTGTTCTTTCGGGTGTGCCTCCAAGGATGAAAAGAAAATAGAAACTGTATAAACGTCTTCATTGCTGGTTCTTAAAGTCTCTGAAATTATTTACTCATAATACTGGCACTCTGTTGATTTTTTTATTGTTATTGTAAGAGATAATTTACTAAAGGATTTTGTTTTTGTAGCTTATTCAGGGATCCCCATTTTGTTTGACAGAATAGATGTTACATGTTACATGCTGTAATGCCTTCTAAAACTAAGATTGGCTCAGTACCTCTCATAGTCCAGTAGAGGGCAGCGCCGCTAGCCAAAAAGGTTTGGCAGTTGGTTTTACATTGTTGCCCCGTGACTAACAGAAAAGACTTCTTGGTAACTTAAAATACTGACCAACTGAAAGACTTTCTGAAAAAAAAACTATGTTGGGGAACAAGTAAGTTTATAAATGCTGTACAAATGATTCGTGCAGTGCTTTTAATTCCTGTTATTTTCGTATTTTTGTCAAAATACTCTGTTACTCTCATTTATAAATGTCAGAAGAACTCACTGATAAATCTCACAACAACCAGTGTTTCACACTGTATTTTCCAAATTGAAAGCACTCAAAGAGTAAATGAAAAATATTCTTAGATGTTCTCCATGTTTTGTGCCATAACTAATGGAGTGGTTTTTACCAATGTATTAAATTGATTGTTGCTCAAAGTGAGAGTCATTCCAATACATTGAAGTCCCAAGTAGGTACTTAAATTTGAAGTCTTTATTTCCAAAGGTAATATAGCAGGAATGAGGTATGCTTGCGTCCATTAAATCCCGGAGTGTATCTTATGGCTAGTGGTCAGCTACATATTACTACCAGGAGATGCTGAGGACAATTCATTTTACAGTGGAGGAGCTGCTGTCGAGCTCTCATTTTCTGCCTAGGAATGAATACAGCTTCTTTACTTCCCCTTATGCCAGGGTCCCTTTATAATAAATTACTGCAGCCAATAGTTAGCAAAGGAATAACACTGATAATGGTATGGTATACATAATTTAGAGCGAAAAAGTTTTACATGTGTTGAAAACTGGAATATATGAATTCTCAAGTCAAATGGATATGGAAAAGAGGTGTTCTTTGTTTTTGGTTTATGGAAGAAAGGAACATACGATAGATACAACAAATAGCAAATACTTGAATTTATTTCATTTGCCACTGATACTTCATAGAATATTCACTTCAATAGTCAAAAATACTTGAGTTCAAATTTGTAACAGCAACTTAAGTCTATTTCACTTAACAGACTTACTAGCTTACTAAGTCTGTGGGTAGGGTTGGAAACATCTCTGTGGGACAAGTCATGCCTGGTATCCCCAGCACTGTTCACTAATCAAATCTAAGGTTAGCTAAATAGATACTTTATTTATTTTCATCTATAAAACCTTGAAGAATATGTGGGGCTATAATTTGGAAAAATAATAGGGCAAACAGTTTACATTGTCTATTGATTTCTGTCTTTACTCACTTTACAGCCTTTACTTGAAAACCTATAATCCTAGAGCTCAGTAGGTGATTAGAACCAAAACTTTATTCATAAATACTTAAGTAAAATTTTGCTTTGTCTTGTGAAGACCCACAGTACATGAAGTGATGTGATAATTAGCATACTGTGCTCCCCTCTGAAAGTATTTATGCCAAATACTTTCCCCGTATTTAGAAAACAAGGTAAGTTAAGAATGTTTTGTCTCTAATAAAGATCAGGTATTTCCTGGAATCTTGGTTCTAGCACTTTTTTTAACTTTAAAGGAACCTTAAATATAGTCTTCCTTAAAAAGTATAAAATATGCCTCAAATTGTATGCAACAACCATTTTACTTGTTTATAATTGAAATGGGAAAACATTTGATATGGAGTGTGAAAATGAAAAACCTTTCATAACTTCTGCTGCATTCTCTAAGGGCTAATACACTGAGTAGTTTTTAGCACTAAGAAAGTCAGCTCCAGGCCACACAATGACTGGAGATGTATTCAGAAACAGTTCCGTTTGTTTTAGTCTTAAAAAGATAAACCCTATGTGAATCACTGGAGGGGTGACTTTCCTCATGAGCATACTTGCAGCAAGCTACCACCATTAAGCACTCAACTGCATAGTACTGTGAGATCCCTGATTTGGGAGGGTGGGATGTTACTTAGTACCTACACAGAATGAGTGAATTGAATGTGATTTAGGATTAGAAAAGCATCAGTGAAGGAAATTTATACGGTTTAAATATTTGTATGGCAGAGAATCATCAGGATTTTAATGCTTTTAATCTGTAAAGAATTCATTTTGTATGACGAAGCAAACTAGTTGACAGTGCAGGGGCCACAAGTGTAGCTCAGTGGTAGAACATGGGTTCAAAAAAGAAAAAGATGCAACATAAAAGAAAAATGCCAATAAATCATGAAAACTCGTGACTTCCATTAATTTTTTTTAACTTCGTTGATTTTTAAAACAGAGTTTTGAGCCGAGTAATGCTGCAGGTCTATAATCCCTGTACTCTTGGAGACTTGAGTTTAAGCCCAGCCTGGACAGTTTGTCAAGGTCTTGTCTCTGAGAAACACTGAAGATGTTCAGGTTAAAGGTCCTGAGTTCACACTCCAGTACTGGCCCCCACTAAAAAGACTGAAGTTTTCAGTAAAGACAGTGTAGGCTGCATTGAAGGTACTCTCCTCGGCATTGTAGTAAGACAGTGTAGGAAGAGTTGTGAAATTTAAATTGTGGAGCTTTTTAATTGAAGTTTTAGAAATAAGATTTGATAGCCAGTATAATAAAAATGTATGAATCCAAGTGGAATCTTAAATTAGAAGCAATATGTCAACTGTCGACATTTTATGTCTCTTAACAGTGTGAACATTTCATCGGTTACTGCTGATGTAAGTTTGGTGTGGCTAAACCAAGGAAGTATATGCAGATTTCTGCAAGAATTGTGGTCCCACAAAAGATTATGAGGTAATGAGGAATACTAGTGTCTTTAAGAGTGCGAAGTAATTCAGGAGTAAAAAGGCTTCTTTTGGTTGAGTTCCACAGATAATGTGTCACTGATAAGAATTCTGAGCTATGAAATACCAACATGTGAACTAAGGGATAAGAGTTGCTCATGACAAAAAAAAGGCGGGGGTAGACCTGTCCATTGTGAAATGGACTGTTACAGAACTGTCTTCCTGGCAATGTGGCTAAGTCTGTTTCCTGCCTCATTCAACAATTTGGTCCCAGTTACAGTATCTACTTCACAGTACTTTCTTCTTGCTTACCCTGGTTTTCGCTCAGTAAAAAACTTGTTTTTCCATGTGCATAGCTGCCTTTGGTTCATCATCCAAGCCAGATCAGTCAGCAAATCCTGAAAGCCTTACCTTCACCTTTAGAACTTGTTCGAATCTAGCCCCATTTCTTACCTCTCCTAAAATGCCCATCAACCTATATAGGTATATCATTTTAATGGCTAACCAGTGGGCTCTACTGTATCTGCTCTCTGGCCCCATACTCTGCTGGCTTCCAGTGAAGGCACTAAACGCTGAAGTCCTGATGCTGACCTATGTGATTCCCACAACATGAGAGAAAATGTGTGCCAGCAGTACCTCAGACAAAAGGTGAGAACACATAACTCACAAAAAGTAAGTCCTCCCTGACTTAAAAGACCCAGTCCAAAAGTGGGCATTTGATGTGAAAACACACTTCGCAATGAAATATAAACAGCAAATAAATACATGAAAACATGTTCAATATCACTGGTCATTCAAGAGATGGAAATTAAAACAACACTGAAATTCTGTCTCACCCCAGAAAGAATGACTATTACCAAGAAATCAGTAACAAATGCTGGAGGGACTGTGGGGAAAAGGGAACCCTTCACTGTTGGTGAGAATGCAGACTGGTACAACCACTGTGGAAATCAGTGTGGAGAGTCCTCAAAAGAATTAAAAACATCAAACCACAGTGATACATGTGTACCCATGTTTATAGTGGTAGTAATAGCCCGATCTTGGAAACAACCCAAATGCCCGTGGATAAAACAAGTGTTTTTATGCAGTGGAGCACTACTTGGCCATAAAGAAGGATAAACTAAAGACTTAACAGGGAAGTGGATACAACTTGAGACCATATTCATTTGTGAAATAAATATGATGTGTAAACGTCATATTGTCTCTGTGAGAAGCTGAAAGAAAACGTATGTGTATGTATATAAAAATAGTTAAGATAGTTACAGTACTAATTTCTCTGAGTTCACTGAAGAGAAAGATTTGTGCTGGAATTATTCAGACAATTGAACGCAGATGTCTTGTGCTCTGGGTGAATAATTGGGGGATGACAGTGCGTAGTGTATGTACCATTGTTGCCCCTGATTGATGTGTTTTGAAATTTTTAGGTTTTTTTTTTCTTCCTGTTTCTCCTTGAAATAAAATGGATTTGGGGGGAAAAGTCTATAGGATTATAATCCTCACTTCCCACTCTGCCACGTTGTATGTTCATTTGTACTCTTATCTAAACATGAAAATTGTACCCATCCCAGAGCTTTTCCACTATTTCCTCAATCTGGAAACTTCTCCCAAACACATCTCATTAACGTCCTTTCTTCTGGCTTACACCCTCTAAAACAGCAGCTTCTCACCGCCCACCCTGCCCTGCTGCTTTTTCCCCTCCATTGTACATAGTTTACAGTCAGTATTTGTGTGTCCACCTCTCCTCTATGGTGTAGATGTGAAGTGGCCCCTAAAGACTCATCGAAAGCTTGCTCCCCATTACAGCTCTGCTCATAGGCCTAGAGAGGACTGGATCATAGCTGGATGATCTACTGGAAATGGGGCGTGTTTGGAGGAACTGGGGGACGGGGTGGGAGGGAGGCCTTTGAAAGGAGGTGCATCTTGTCCCAGGCTCCTTTTGTCTAGCTTCCCTTTCTCTGGTTCCTGGCTGCCAGGATGTGAGCAGCTTCTTTCACCTTTCTCTTCCGCCATATTGTTTCTGCCTTGTAGACACCTGGCCATGAACTGATTTATAACTGTGTCCTCTCAAGTGTTTTGCCTGGCAACAGAAAGCTAATACGACTGCATACAACAGTTGTTGGTGTGTCCCTAGCTTGTCCCATGATTACTAAACCCAAGGACAGTGACTTAGTTAGCAGTGTGACCAGTGCGTCGCTCACAGGATCTGCTTTTAAAAATATGTTGGCTAGATAGACATTATTTCCATACCTTTAGTGATTCTAGATCATTTCTCTAATAAATCTGTCCCCTTGGCAATATGTCTTATAATGTGGCAGTCATTTGTCTGGAGTAAAATAGAACTGCCTGGATCTTGATGTGGTACTTACATTAATAAAGCCTATAATGTCAATAACAATTTTTATGACTAGTTAGGTTATAATATACAACTTTGGGAAAGAATTCTAGTCTTTTCCTTCATTTAAATTGACAATGGCAGGATCCCCAAATTTACTGTACCCAATTAATAAGCTTTTCCTAACTTTGCAGGCATGCACTCAGGATTAACATTTCTTGACTGCCTAACATGCCCAAAGGACTGTCATCACTGAGGGGGAAGATGAGGCAAAAAAATGGCTTGAGCCCAGAAATTCAAGGCCTACTTGGACAGCATAGTAAGAGGCCTACCTTGAAAATACAATGTGTGTAAAACTTGTCCTAAAGGTTTTCACTGTCAAAGTGATCCACATAGGAGCTGCAGAACATGGTGAGAGATAGTGAGCACTTTAAGATACCATTGCTCCAGTTGTTCCAAAGGAGAGACTGTTTATCTGTGAGGAGAGCAAGAACTGGAGTAAGATTTGGACAACCGAAATGGCCTGTGGAATGCAGATACAAGGAAAACTTTAAGCAAAAGAACTGAAAATAAATCAGTTTGGATGAAGATACATTTGTAAAGAGTAACAGGGTGAAAGATTAAAAAACAAAAAGTAATTTAGCTAAAATTTGGAGAACTTTATCACAAAGCTGACAAAGCCTTTTATTTGGGAGAGTCAAGGTTACTGAAAGTTCACGACAGGAAATAACCAGTCCATTGCCTTAGAATACAACCTATGAGGGTCTGAATAAAAGGTTCCAGTGGGGAACTATGAAATTCAATGCAGGCGGGGAGTACAACAATCCAGTCACAATGAAAGGCTGAATGAGTGGAGTCGCCATGAGAATAAAAGGAGGGAAAACCAAAGGAAAAAGGAAATGTTGGCAATCGGTTGCAAGGAGTTTGGAAAATAACAAGGAAAGATCAGATCAGGCCGTGGTGAATGAGATTTAACCGTGCATGCTACCTTTGTTGCAGAAATAGGACCTCTGGTCGCTGAAGAGCGCACTGGAGTAGATTCACTAACACATAGCATCTGACATCCCTAAAGGGTTTACGGAATGCGCTTAGCACGGAAACTTAGGCACATATGGGAAGCACCTGCCCAGAAATGATAATGGCACCGTGAGCGTGGGGAACAGAATGAGACTTAGAGAGTGGTAATTCAAAAATACGTGCGTCTATATTAAGAAAGCTCTTTAAGATTCTTGGGGCTCAAGGAATGAAAAGCTCAAAAAGAGGAATAAACAGAAATGCAGAGATGATAGGTTAAGCTTGAATTTGATTTTTGTTCATTCCAAACATTAATGGATTAGATTGTTGAATTAAGAGGCTGAAAACAAGAATAAAAGAAAAATTTTGAGTACACACGGTGAAGTACACGTTATGTGAGTCCTTAATACTGTATTAATCACCACCCAGCAATCACCAACGAAGGCTGGCTTGTACCTGTTTATTCTTTTTTCAATAATGGCAACCGAGCTACTGTTTTTCCTTAACAACATTGTGAGTGCTTTAAATATGACTGCGTGGTGCAAGTAACTTTCATTTTACGTGGGAGAGTTTGGAAAATAACGTGCCCAAACTCTCCTAGAAAAAAAAAAAAAAAAAAAAAAATATATATATATATATAAATTACCTCAGCCCACCAAAACGCCACTTCACTCACAATTGAAACATTAAGTTCGTTGCACTGGATCTTTCTGGTGCTTTGAGAAAGGATCTCCAGAAGTAGCTGAGGCTGGCCTTAAACTCATTATGCAGCCTAGGGTGGCCTCGAACTCCTGGATCCTGCTTGGGCTTTCTGCAGTGCTGGGATTACAAGCGTGCGCCACCATTCTGGGCTCTGGACGTCTTATTGCAAACAACGTTTGATTTAAAATCAAGCCTGGAAGGCATGGCTTTCCATTGTTTCCTTAGTCCTACCAGAACCCCGACTCTCCGGTTAAGTTGGATTTAACACTGCAGTACAGGAAAAGCAAAATCTTCATTTTCCTTCGGCCTGGGGTGTGTGGTCGCAGTTCCTATCCACAGTTCCCATCCAGGCCGGGGGTGGGCGCCCCTCTCCGACCTTCAAGCTGGAGCCCCCTTGAGGTTCGGAAGAAAGGGGCGCATTCCCTGCCCTTTCTTCCTCAGCGTCCCTGAAGAATCCGATCTTCCCGCGGGTCCCCGCACCGCGAACCCCACGAGAAGAGGGAGGCGGCGCGGAGAGAGGGGGGCGGGCCGTGAGAGCGGGGGTGGGGAGCGGGCGCGGGGCCCGGAGGCGTCCCCGCCTCGGCCGCCCGCTCAGGTGGCTCCGCGCCTCGCGCCACCCCTAGGCCGGTTGGTACAGTCCAGCGTCCCCAGAGTTTAAAAGGAGCCGGAGGGCGAGAGCCGCGGATTCGGGGGTCGACGCGCGCACGGCGGCTCTCCGGCTGCTCTCCGGCTCCCGAGGGCCGCGCGTCGTGGCGGCTCTGCGCTGGGCTGCTCCCCCTTCGGCCCTCGAGTCCGCGTGCGGTTTGCGTGGGTCTCAGCAGGGGCCCCTCGCGCCCGCCTCTGTGCCCCCAGCTCTTCGGCCCGGGCCGGCAGGGAGGCCCGCGCGCCGCGCCGCGCAGGATGGAGCAGACCGAGGTGCTGAAGCCGCGGACGCTGGCCGAGCTCATCCGCGTGCTGCACCAGCTCTTCGCCGGCGACGACGTCAACGTCGAGGAGGTGCAGGCCGGGCTGGAAGCCTACGACAGCGACCCTGCCGAGTGGGCGACGTACGCCAAGTTCGATCAGTACAGGTGAGAGCGCGCCGGCCTCGGGGCCAAGCGGCCGGACTCGGTCTGCAGAGCTGGCGGAGCCCGGGCGCACTGCCTGCCGCGCCCACCCTGTGCACCACGGCTGCAGTCGCGGGGCCGGCGCTGCGTGCTGCGGGCTCCCAGGCTTCGGCTTGGAGAAGCTGGGTCCTGCTATCGCTGCTGCCGAGACACAGCCCGCAGGAGGGCCGGGGCCAAGTGGGAGACCACGGCGCAGCTGCAAGGGGTTTTCTTCCTGAGCTCCTCCACTGCAACCACATCGATGCCCCCACTCCAGAGCGATGGCCGACCCCAAAGTCGGAGATACAGAGACTCCCCGCAACCAGACAACACAGGCTCCTGCCCGCCTGTCTCCTGGAGGACCTGACTGGCGAGGGTGCTCGCAAGAGAGAAGCACATTCTGCTATCCAGAAAAAGGGTGGGGGTGGGGGACATAATTCCCAGACATCAGTTCTCCTTCTCTATGCCGTGAATCACCAGCAGCCAGGCACCTTCCAAAAGGCATTGTCCCAATGTAAAAGAGCCTGTTGATTTTTGTCAAGCACTACAAGCACTGCTGCTGCTTGCACTCAATCTCCTCAGCCATGGGTTTATTTAAATTCACTGTCAACTTTTGCAAATTAAGCACACACCTGCCTTTTCAGTCCCCAGACCACTGGCTCACTCTTATCCCTAAGTTCCATGGATCTGTAATGTATTCTGAAGACGTTTTTTAATTTGCGAAGCGGTTTTGAGAATTTCTTTTGGTTTTTATCAGCTCAGTTCCTGGCCAGGTCCTCTTGCCTCTCAATAACGCTACCAGAACATAGCATTTAAATGTTGCCTGCATTTGCTCCAGACAAATGAGAACTTGTATTCCTTCCTGTCACTTTACTCAAAAAACCAGGTTTCCTTTTTATCCCGATTTTACAAGCAGAGGCTGGTTGGCAAGTGAGAAGCAAAGCCCTCAGATGAACTATACAGGGTCTCATTTCTGTCAGGGTCAGATAAACCTAATTGCTCTAGAGTCCATTCTCTCAGTTATCACTGAACTTCCTGGGAATATAGGACACTAATAGTTTCATTAAAGTGCATATCTGACTGTAATATTGGCTAAGTGAAATTAATTAACCAGGGTAAGCTGTAAGCAAGCTTAATCTTTGGAATCAGATAATAGGATAGTCTGCTTGGACAGCTGGGCAAGTAGGGAATGGGGGAGATGGGAGTGCAGAAATTCTGTTGGATTTCTGGCATAGAACGGTGCCTGGAGGGTGGCAGTGGGAAAGGAGGGAGTGTGACGTTGAAGAACCCTCCAGAATATGCTCCACAGAATGTGTTTGGTCGATGGAGCCAGAGGGTGAGTTCTCAGGAAGGAGGTGGCCCCAAGACTGGCAGAGGAGAATTGAGAGCCTAGTGTAGAAACCCAGTTTACAGTGGATTGATTTCAGGCTGTGTAAAGAGTAACAAAATGAGGGAGGACAGCTACAAGTATCTAACTAAACAACTCCCTCCAGGATCTTGCGCTGGCTGCCAGCGGCTGGCCCTGAACCTGAGGGAGAGGAGGGGACAGGAGAGGACTGAAGGGGCCCACGGAGCAAGAGGTAACAGATGCCAAAAGGACACTACCAAAAAGGCAGGAAGATCCCTTTTCTGAAAGATGAGTCTCAGCTGTATAAACCTCTTCTTTTTGCTTTTTTTGTTTTGAGTAGAGAATTGTCTTGGGCTACATATTAAAAAAAAAACTATATATATATACACACACACACACACATACACATTTAATGTATGTAAGTAACAAAACTTTCTTGCTCAAATATTTTTATTGAAACACTTTTTAAAAACTGTAGAAAAAAGATGAACAACTCATTGGCCAGGCTTCTTTGAATGCCAGTTATCAAATTTTACTAATTAGATGGTAATAATATTATCTATGGGGCCAACAACAACATTAAAGTTGAATCCTCCCCACCCTGCAGAGTGGCAGTGTGGTTGGGTAGCTGTTTTGGTTTGGATTTTTTTTTTTTTTTGCCAATTATTTATTGATTTTTCTTGTTTAGTGTTCTTCCCTAATGAAGTCTTTGTTCTGGGGCTTAGATCCACCCCCGCCTTACTGTGGAGAACTTTTCATTTTAAGTGCTTTTGAATGTGGTTTGTGTCTGGGCTTTAGTGGTGAAGCTACAGAGAATTCTAGAACAGCTATTTAATGAAACCTTGTTTCTCCAGTTCTGTTCAGCCACAGGGAAGGAAGGAGGCCAAGACAACAGTAACATTCTTTCCTGGAGAAGTTGTATGCTTGCAAATATCTTCTATGAGAAACTTAAACTTCTTTTTATCAGTTCGATACTGACACAGAAATACAGAATTTATTTTTTGAGATGTTCTTGTTCTTTGTTACCTTTTCACACCTTTAGTCAAAACTAAGCAGCTATGTTGTGATTCCGAATACAGAAAGGTCCTGTCATCTTTCAGAGACCAGCAAAACAAAAAATCCACAAAATATGGAACTGTGAAGAATAATTTACATTTGTGCTGGATTTCTTATTACAAAACCACATTCAAAATTGCTTAGAGGTAGAACTTTTAACATGTTAGATACGTGGCACTTTGTAAAACTTACTTGCCTAATCCTTGTTTCAGCAGTCAGATTTAAACTTCTGAATTCATTCTTTTTTTTAGGTATACCCGAAATCTTGTGGATCAAGGAAATGGGAAATTTAACCTGATGATTCTGTGCTGGGGTGAAGGGCACGGCAGGTAATATAATCATTCGAGATGTTTCTTTAGCACATTTGGCTCAGCAGATGAAAGGTACACAGTGCCAGGCTGGCCACTAACTTTATAGACTAACAGATCACATTTCAGAATACCAGCATGCATTGTCCCACAATCCCAACAAAAATTCCCCCCATGGGAATTAGCATAGGGGATTCAGGCATATACCATACATATTAAAACTGGTTCCCAAAGTAATTAGTAAATCAAATGACCTTAGTCACCTTAATTTAACCTCTGTCTGCTGTAGAGTTAAGCTTTTTATGGAATTGTGTTTAAACCTGACCTTTGTGGTGTTTGAGGTGTGTAAACAATCGTGGGACCAAAGACCAACCCAGATTTGGATCTGGGAAATCATTTCACAAGTTCAGAGGATTTCTTCCTAGTTCAAGCTAATTACTTAGCTTTGTTTGTTTGTTTTACCCTGAAAACAACTTTGTACTCTTTTACAATTGGTTCTGTGTCTTTGGTCTGTGCATTCGCCAGTCTTATTGTCAACAGCATATTGTTTTTTAAAACAGATCCTTCCTAGTTTTTGAGAATGATAAAGAACAATAATTCACGAGTATTTTTGATGGTTAAAAAGGACAAATGAATTTTTAAAGCATTAGAAAGTTAACTCTATCAAGTAGATTTTTTTTTACTCATATGGAATAACTTGTATCCATTCATTGAATATTATTTGTGAGGCAATTACCAAGGATAGGCCTAGGCCCTGGGAACTTAGGAAACAAAGTCTGATGCTACATATATAAGTTAATAGAATTTTAACATATGAAGAAAATACTAAAAACATACACAGGTTCAGTGTTGTGTGATTTGCTTTGAAACAGGGTCTTGCTTTGTAGTCCAGACTGGCCTTGAACTCACTATGTAGCCCAGGCTGGCCTTGAACTCCAAGCAGTCCTCCTGCCTCAGCCTCCTAAGTGCTGGGCTTGCAGGTGTGTGCCACCACACTTGACCATGTGCATGAGTTTATACATTTTAATTAGTCTGTAGCCTTTATTACTTCATGTACCTAAATACTATTTATTCTAAGATCAAACATAACTAATTTTCTCTACCAGTATTGAGAGATAACCACAGACTGGCTGCTTTAAATCTGTAGTGACTAACATTGTATGTATTACACTGTAGTATACAGTATAATTTTAGGGGTGTAACATGCATATACATCTGCTTCTGCCCCAAAGGAAAGAGAAGCAAAAAGGTATCATGGGTGGAAAAAAACCAAAACAAACAAACAAAACTAACATAATAAGTAATCTCAGTATGTACAATTACAAAAATAAGTATCTTCATTCTTTTAAATTTTCTCTAATGTACTTTTGTTTTTTATGTTTTCTGTTTTGTTAAATGGTACTGAAGATCAAACCCAGGGCCTGAAATACTAGGCAAACGCTCTGTCATTTCTAAGACACATTTATAATCAAATTCTAACTCTGGTTGAAAGCACCACTAAAAGTTAGATTTTGAGGAAGATAAAAGATTGCTGTTTTTATTATCAAATGAGTGTGACAATGACATTTTAAAAATTAAATATTCGTTACCCTGGGCGTGCGTGAAAACTGTGCCCCTTTACAGTATGGTGGCATATGCTCATCATTCCCAGCTGTTTAAGTTAAGGCAGGAGGATAGTGGATACAGGGCCAGACTAGGCAACATAGTGAGCTCTGGTCTCCAATAAAAAGGGCTGAGTATGTAGGTCAGAAGCAGAATGCTTTCCTGGGATACCCAAAGCCCTAGATCCAATTTCCAGTGCATATTCCTTGATATGGATGACTTGTTATTTTATTACTCTGTCTTGAGTTGTAGACTGATGGCATTTTAACAGTCCATCTGAAATGGATTTGGGGATGGAAGGTGTCCTCTTGTCTGAATATAGGTATCAGCTCAGGGCAACCTGGATAATATGCCACCTGCTGAGTTCTGTTGTCCTTTGTGTATTAATAGCAGTATTCATGATCACACGGATTCCCACTGCTTTCTGAAAATGCTGCAAGGAAATCTGAAGGAGACTTTATTTGCCTGGCCTGACAAAAAGTCCAATGAGATGACGAAGAAGTCCGAAAGAACCTTAAGAGAAAACCAGTGTGCCTACATCAATGGTAACTGTCCTGTCTTTTCTCTAAGGACGGGTGGGAAACACTGGATTCTTAGCTGAAATAGTGATTGTTTGCATATGTGTAGTGGAGCCCGTCATGGAGTCATGATCTCAAATACTTGGAAAATGACTTAAGCACAGTGGGTTTCATTTTTCAAGGCTTTGAATCTTGGCCAGAAAAATTTATTTAAAACATATGTATGTAGGATAGGATCCATTGAAAAGTTATTTACCTGTCAAAATTTAAAACAGACTAGAATATGAATTTATATTTCGTAGACTTGACAAAAAAAGTTCAAGTTAGAAATAGTCTGTTTATGTTAAAAAAATGTAAGGAAATGTTCTGGAAGTGATTAAGAACACTAGCAAGCCCCTATTTTTCTAAAACTCACATAGCGTAACTAAATAACTTTCCTCATGGGAGATTCTACAAAGCGTGATATTTAGCAGTGATTTTAGATATCTTAATAAGCATTCATTCTTTCTCCTAAATGTGGTGTGGGGAGATTAAGTGTTTCTCAGAAGAGGCAGGATTTAGCTTTTATATTCCTAAAAGGGCCCGTATCTTTCCCCAAAACTTAATAAAACATAAATAATATATAGGGAAATTAAACACCTTGTCTGAGGTCACTCTGCTTTTGAGTAGCAGCCAGGATTTGAACCCGAGTACTCTGGTTCCAAAGCACATGCTCTTAATTGGGATGTAACCTCATTCTATAAAATGAAGTGTTACCGATGTTTTTCTGGCAGTGCCTTACTTCATATATGATGAAGTCTGGTGTTAGTCTTGATAGTTGGCCTAAATTTGTCACATCATTAGGTGAAGAATGCAAGTCTTTTGCAAAAGTCAGATTTATGAAAGTTTTTTCCCTCGATGCACATAGCACAAGGCTTGGTTTTCTATGCAGTAGAAAATGCATAATTTTATGTTTAAAATATTTGAGAGTTGCCATACATAAGGTATATCAGATTTACAAAAACAAGATTGTTGCTTGTACCATGCACAGTAAAGACAAAAGCCTTGCAAAACAGTTCTTTGCAATTAGAGTCAGTCTGCGATTGGCTACTGGGAAATACGTAAGCTTTCTCCAGGGTTTCCTGTGCAGACATCTGTAAAGCGAAGCTGTGAGGTAGGAGAGTAATGCAGGCCAGGGAAAAGTCCGTGGCGCATATGCAGACCACACTGTGGGAATGGTGGTGTCACCCTACAATAAAAGCACCTTGATTACTTTTTCCACATAATTCTGGAAATGTTGATTCTTATTTTTGTAGACTAATTATCCAAACAACTTAAAAACCACAAATTTTCAATCTCTGATTTTTACAGATCCCAAGTTAAGGGTGCAGAGGGAAGGTGATGAGAAGCAAGATGGTCAAGTACAGAGAAAAGCATGAGTGAAGGCCCAGTGCTTGCCGAGCGGGAACTTCAGGAATGGGGTTGCGCGAGAGAGAGAGGGAGAAGGGTTTGGATGGGGTTAGTAGGAGAGGAAAGCGATATAAGCATCTGGGCTGCTAAAACCAGCACCATGCAACACAGGCTGGAGGAGCATCGAGAACTGGAGCAGGGATATAAAGTTTGAACAAAAAGTAATGGGCAAAGTTCACAGAGCATAGATATAACGGGCCTTCGTACATATCACCAAGAAAGACCCAGTATTACTGTAACAGAGGGTACATCACAAACACAAAGGAAAAGAAGGCAAAGACCAGAATAATAACAACCCATGCTGGGTTAACACTAAGGCTCATCCGTGCCTCAGGCTTAGCTAAAGGATGAATGCCTAGTGTTTGCAGCCTTTGCTTGCGAAATTGTCCACTACAGATGGGGTGTTGTCTGTACCTACTGTGGAAGAAACAAAAAATTATCCATATAAAGGACAATTGGTTCTTAGGAATGCCGACCATCTGCTCAAAACTGTCCTTAAGCCAGTAGATTATGAAAGCTAGAGAATCAAAGCTTTTGCTGGCCTAGGAATTAGGTTCCACTTTTAGAAGCAAGGAATACTGAAAAACTTTGAAGTTGTCACCTGTTCAGATGTAACCTCATAGGTCACACTTAGAACCCGAGTCTTCTGCTTCTAGACTTTGTTTTTCTAAAATATCTCTGAATTCCACTCCTGCAGCGTGATTGGTTATTCAGCAGAATGCAGGTGGTGATCATCCCCCAGAGCTGTTGTCTTTTTTGCTTTTTAGTTTCCATGTTCAAGAGCAAAGCCTGGTGCTACTCTGATTCTTGCTCCTTCCTATGAAACCTCTTTGGCTTTCTGCACATTTTTGGAACCTTTTGGTGCTTTTATTCTGTCCACAGTGTTGTCAAATTTCAGTGTTGCATCCTGCTTGATGACTCCTTGGGCTGGGTACTCAGTAAGTTCTTAAAATCTAGAATTTGCATACCTCAAAAAAAATATTCTTGGGTTATTTCTTGTGGTGGTGGTGTTTCTGAAACTGTGATTGTTAAGATATTAAACATTCTGAAGTAATTCTCCGAATCCTCCCCATCTTATTTTCTATGTCGGTCTTTTTATTCTTTGAGGCCCCTCCAGCTTTTTCTGCCAACCATTCTATTCAGGTATTTATTTCTAAAAGATCTTATATTTTTTGGTCCTTTGGCACTTTACTCTCATAGGACACTCATGACAGGGTTTTAAGTCTTCTAAGTGGTGTCTGTTTCAAGTTACCTTTCTCAGGTTGCTCTGGTCTATTTTCTGTTCTAGGGGGTACCTCCGATATCTGCTAGCCTTGGCTATATGGTAATGTGTAAAAGCCAGGGACCAAAAAAGTTAATCAGTAGCTCTAAATGCAAGAGTGGACTTTTCAGTAGATTTCACTTTGATTATCTGGTGGTGACCTTTCCTTGAATTCCCAATGACAGGATGTTTTAGGGCATTTTATCTGAGCAATAAAATTCCTTGAAAAGCTGCTTCCCATCTCCTGCCTGTAGGAAAAAATCCTGTCTCGCAGCTAGATGGTGAGAAACACAGGAATCTTATCATTCACTATATGAATTTTTATTCAATGCACCTGTTTTCCACTTGGTGTTTACTAGTCTCCAGTTCACTCATTGGTTGTACAGAGAACAGATCTCAGTCTTCTGGGGAAAGGAAAGGAAAATGGGTGAAGGGGATTTGTCACTGTTCCTCAGTGGGCCTCCAACCAGCTGGTATATCTCAGCTCTCTCTCTCCACTCATTTCACAGAACCGCCAATTCCTGAGCTAATTGGGAGTTTCAAAGTGCAAACCAGGTTACTTCCTGGCTTCCCCCAAAAATGACTTAAGATTTTTCTGTCTCTTTTTTACAGAGCTATCCATTTTTCAAGCTTTCCTAATTTTATTGTTTTTCCTTTTCCTATTTTCTTTGTCTCTCTATGTCAGTTTCTTTTAAAAAAAAAAATTCTTTTACTGCAGTGGTAAGGCAAATGTGCGTCACTTACTATGATAACTAGAAGTTCTAACTAATTTCTGTTAGCTCCATGTGCCTCAGTATTGACTCAAGACCACAGATGATTAACAAAATGTTTACCCTCAGCTATCATCTAACTCCTGCATCTTTTCTTCCTTTCCTGATATTGTTCAGATTCCATTGGCTTACATCGAGTAGAGAATATCAGCCACACAGAACCTGCCGTAAGCCTCCACTTATACAGTCCACCTTTTGATACATGCCATGCTTTTGATCAAAGAACAGGACACAAAAACAAAGTCACCATGACATTCCATAGCAAATTTGGAATCAGGACTCCATTTGTAAGTCTAATGTCTTTCTTCTGGGTTTAAATGTCTTATGGGCTGACTGTATGTACTACTGTCATTATGAATATTTGAAGTTAAGCATTCTTGAAGAATGAGACAAACTTTAACCCTGGGGAAAGACCCAGTATATCTTACTTGTTTCTTAAACTTTGGAGACAATATTCAAACTAGATTTTAAAGAAAAACAAATTAGATGCAAAGAATTATTCATTGAGAAACTTTAAAGTGTACATTCATGCTCATTCTTAAAGAAAATGTTTTTGTTTGTAAATAATAGTAAAATCTATGTCTTTTGATAGAAATGTTGCTGCTACGATTAGTTTGCTGGAACAAATAAGTAGCATAGATAGGCTTTGTAAAGTGGAGACTTTTCTGACGAAATTTGACTGTTTTATTGCTTTGTCTCTGAACTATGAGACTATTTAGACCCCAGATAAGTGAGGATTGGGTTAAACTAGCATCATTTGCGTGTAGTTGAGCATTTGTGTCTGTATGTGTGTGTGGTGTCCTTGTGCATGAGAAGCAATTACTCTACTAGTGAGCCATCCTCCCAGGCAGCCCCTGATTTTTCTTGAAGAACAAGCATTTGCACTTAAATATAATCAGGCAACCAACTAACACTACAGCGGTATGGCTGTGTTCTGATGAGATAAATTGGCTCTTGGGAGGAATGGTCTTTATTTAGTCATGAGAATGTCCAGAAATAGTACTTGAAAAGAAAGACTGAAAACAATCCCTTTGATTCTTAACAAAAGCACAGCCTTGGAGAGAAGCAAGGATAGAATTGTCTCATGTTCTTTGTCTTTATCTCACACATTCCGAAGTGTAAAGAGCCTTATCACTGCAGCAAAACAGAACGGCTTCACTGATACAGCCAAGTTTTCACATACTACCAGAGAAGCAAGACTGCCTTGAACAAACTGTAATGACTTGGATAAAGAGTCTTACACAGCTTTCTCCTATCCTTTCTTAACAGCCAACTTCAGGTTCACTGGAGAACAACTGAGGAGCACCAAATCCTGCAGAGTTTTGCTTTAAGATGTGCTGGTGAACATTTTTACCTTAGACCAGAAGGCCTTCCACTGTTTGATGTCTAATAATACACTTACATAAGCCAATACTTAGATCCATTGTAAGGCAGATGCTAATGGTAAGGCGTTAATGAGCAAATAGTATCCCAAACTACTGTAGAGAAAAATCCCATTTAAAAAGTCTTGAAATTTTAAAGGCCAAATCAAGTACTCTCCTGATTCTGTCCTCTAATTCCACTGCAACCATACTAGGAGTTTCAAGGAGGGTCTGTATTTCTTTCTTTCTTTCTGCTTTGGAAATAATTTGGTCACTGAATTGATATTTGCAATAAATATAAACAACTTATAGATACCAACTCTCTGCTTTGTTACTTGGAGAATTAGATGTAGATGTTTTTAATGTACTTTGTATACTCTTAACATTTGAAGAGAATTTTTTGATCTTTGAATTTTATTTTTTCAATATTTTACAACTTCCTTTTCTATGGGTAATAGAGAAACCAACGGCCATTTTTCGCTTGATAATAAACTGAACGGCAGAGAACTTACTTTGAAATGTAGTGTACCCAAACCTGTAACAAACCAAAACCCATATCTAATATGTCCCAGTCATAGACAAGGATTTTGTACTGCTTCCCAGTTTGCCAAATCATTTTAATAAAATTTGATTTGAACACAATTTGAAGTTGTCTTTGTGAAAAACTGTATAAATCATTGTTTCTTAGAGTACCAAAAACACTGTAATGTGTCTATCTTATGATGTAAGATAGCGAGAGCCAAAAAACTACATTCAAAAGCAGTTTACCAGATTGGGCATTTAGGTCACACACGCGTACACTGTCCTCTGTTTGAAACCCAGAGTCAGAAAAAAGAACAACTTACCCTTTTGGGCTTCATGTGCACTCATTAATTGGCCAGAAATGCCAACCCAAAGATCTCTGGCACTAGCATAGCTCATGAATGTGATCAGTTTTGTCTGAAAATTTGTGTGTGTGTATGTGTGTGTGGGTGGGGAATGTAGACTGATGTGTAGCATTGAAAAAATGGAGATTTGGGCCGGGGATATAGTTCAGTGATAGAATACTTCCCTAACACGTGCAGGGCCCTGCATTTGATCTTTAGCACAGAAAAAGAAGGGAAATTTTAAAGAAGGTACATATTTGAGCTTCTGGAAGATTTGAAGTATCTAGAAATACCCGGCCTAGACTACATTCACACTGTCATCAGTTAGTGAGAGCGGAGTCTGCCCTCAGAGGGGCCACCTCTCCAGTCTGGTACAGCGCCTAAGTCACCTCTTTCATTATGTTATCTGCAGAGCTCACATGCATTTGAGTTTGCTACCTGCACTGTAGGCAATTTTATTAGAAATAATCTGTTATAACCTCACAGTATTCTCTCTGGACACTTTATTATAAAGTCTTTTAAAAATAGTTCCTAGTTGTTTGTTACTTCAGAGAATTATTTACTTAGTAGTTTTTTCCCATCTTTGAAAAAGATACTGATGTTTATTGAATACTTACTACATAGTAGGCAATTGTTATTAGTTGTTCAGATTTATTGAATACTTACTACATAGTAGGCAATTGTTATTAGTTGTTCAGATCTGTTAACTTAGTTCTGAAATCAAACTTCATGGATCAGATTCTTCATGGATCAGTTTTTCACTGCTACTATATTACTGTGTATTTAGTGACTTAACTCAATGCAGATTTATTATCCAGCAGCTCTGAGGTCAGAAGTCTCAGCAGCTTCACAATGCTAAAACCAGCGGGTTGTGAGGGCTACATTCCTTTCTGTAGGTTCTGGATTTGTCCTCCTGTGCTTTGATTTCCCAGCCTTCCGTTTTCCCCCTCCCTCTAACTTTAAAGACAGCAGTGGCAGGTAGAATCCTTCCTATATCACTCCGATACAGTCTCCCCTCTTCCACTTAAAGGGATTTATTTATGGTTGGATAATATTTGCGTCTCAAGGTATGCTTAATCATGTCTCTTCACATTATAGTATCAACTCAAAGTCCACAAGTCTTACCTAAATCTCACCTAAATTAGATACAGGGGAGGCTCTTATTCTAATCTATCCTGAGATGCAATTCTTCTCTAAAGGTAGACATACTGAGCATTGTTAAGAAACTTAGCAATGATACACAACCAAGACATTAGAGAACTAAGACTTAGATCTGAGTTTGATTTCAAGCAATCTTCCTCTAAAACATTGCTGCTGTATTTGGGCTTTTTAGGGTATTTTGGTTGGGATACAAAACATCTCCCAAAAGGCTTATTGTGCTGAAGGCCAGGCTGCCAGCTGATGGACTGGGAAGGAACTGGCTCATTAGGGTTCTGTCATCAAGTGGATTAAGCCATACATGAATTCATTAGCTAAGTGAGATTGTTAGGAGATGGGGCCTCCAGGGGTGAACCAGGTTATGGGGGGCAGGGGGAAATGGCTGCTAATTGTATATCCTGTCTCTGGCTCCTTCTCTGGCTTTTACCCCTCTCTCTGCTTCCCAGACACTATGAGGGAAGTAGCTTTGCTCCACCATACCTTCCTGCCATGTTTCTCTACCTTGCCACAGACCAATAGCATGGGGCTGGTTTACCATGGACTGAAACCTCTTAAACCATAACACAAAATAAATCTTTCCTCCTTTAGACTGACTGTCTCAGATGTTTTGTTATACAGCAGTGACACAAAGTAAAGGAAGCCTGGGCCAGTTTTGTGTATCTTCCCATCTTAAAACAAAAAAATTATGGTATAGTTACAAATTTTATAGATAAGGTGTTTAAATGTTTCATAAATAGCATGGTTAACACACAAATAAAGTGATAAGTATCCTATGTATGATAAGAATGGACGGTGCGCCACTGGTAGGGCCCTGCCCAGTGATCCTAAGCAGCCAGGGAGTATTGGTGTGCTGCATGGCACAAAATACAAATTTGAGGATCCTGTGAATCCCAAGCTCAGGGCAGTCAGCCGCATGGGCAGTGCTGCCCACCCTATTCCTCAGCCTTATAACGGACCCTGCTTGCTCCTGCCCATGATGACATGCCTGCAGGAGGATGTGTGCTGGTCTTCTCCCAGAGCTCAGTGCTTTCTTGGGTCACCCAGGTGTTTGCACACATGATAAGGCAGTGACAGCACTGAGCCTCAAATGCGTGCTGAGATGCAAATAAGACACAAGCCCTGTATAGAAGGGTTAACTGACTTAGGTATTCTGAGTCCTCGCACTACTGTTAACACATCATAGGGGCTTAATATTCATAAAATAAATGGAAAAAATCTCAACTCCTTACACAATAATTTTGTACTAAGCTACCTTGATTTTTTCTCTCAGCCACCAAATCAAATATACCATGTTATTTTCATTATGTATGGCAATTCTCAGATACTTTTTAAGTTAAACTTTGTAAATAAAGCCTATATCAGAAACTTACATTTTGTTGTGCATTCATTAATCATAGACTTAGACAAATTAGTTGATGAACAGAAGCCTCATGTATGTTTCCATGGGAGAAAACAGCATTAATTACACTATTTTTGGCAATGGTTTGTATCCTTCTTTCGGATGATGGGACGCCCTGAAAATCTTTGCATGTTAAAGAATGTTTCTGTAGAAATGTTTCTGCATAAATTTGCATGCAGTCTCAGAAAGTAGTCATGGGCCCTCTGAAGGCCATTAGAAGTTCTGGTTAAACATGAGCCAAAGCTGATGGGAAATATTGACTATTTGACTTCATTTTTCTGAGATTAAATGAGCATTAGCATAGGGGCAGTTAACTGTTTAAAGGTTACAATGCAGTCTTCCATCAGTGGAATGAGCTACTTTGTTCAAGGCAATCCACACATTTCACAAGATCTGTTTTCTCTGTTTCTAAAGTAATTTCAGACTTTCACAACTATCCAATTTGAAGATGCTTTTAGAGAAAAATTTATGTAGGAGAGTGACAAAAGACATGGCGCACTCACCTGAGGCACCTAGAATTGGCAAATTTGTAGACAGAAAATAGAATGGAGGTTACTGAAGGCTGGTAGGAGGAGAAAATGAATTATGCTATAATGGATAGAGTTTTTGGTGGAAATGATGAAGGATTTGAGGTAAAGATAGTGGTGATATGCAATGTGAAGGGGTTTTTATTAGTTTTTCAAGGATATTTATTTTTAATTAACCAAATTTATTGGTACACTTAGGTACACATAATGATCATATTCATTATAGGGAATTTGTACCTGTACATGATATAACTTGATTCTTTTTTTTCCTATTCCCCTTCCCTTCCTTTAACCCCTATTCCCTTCCTTATTTACAAAAGCTTTGTTTCCATTTTTTCTACTTTTCATATCATTTTTTCCCTTCCTTTCCCACTTCCCCATCCCAGATTCCCCCTCCCCATTTGAACATTTTCTTCCTATTTCACAATATCTATTTCATATTTTCAGTATGGCCTCAGGGTTCATCCATTTAACTAAAACTGTCTCAAGCTTGTCCTTCTTTGTGACAGAGTAGTACTCCATTGTATTAAAAAAAAACACATTTTCTTTATCCATTCATCAGTTGATGGGCATTTGGGTGGTTTCCAAGATTTAGCTATTGCAGACTATATTGCAATAAACATTGGTATGCATTATATTGCTGCAGTTTGATGCTTTTAATTCTTTTGGGAAGATACTAAGAGATGGAACTTCTAGTCCTAGTTTTTGAGGAATCTCCATATTGGTTTCCACAGTGGTTGCCCAGTCTACTACCCACCACTAGTGGAGGAGGGTTCCTTTTCCCCACAGCCTGACCAGCACTTGTTATTGGTTGATTTCTTAATAATAGTGATTCTCTCTGGGGTGAGATGGAACTGCAGTGTGGTTTTAATTTGCATTTCTTGAGTAACCAATGATGTTGAACATTTTTTCATATATTTATTTGTTGTTTCTATGGCCTCATCTGAGAAGTACACATTCATCAGATGCCCATTTTTGGATTGGGTCTTTAAATTTAGGGGAGTCTGATTTTTTGAGTTCTTTATATATTCTAGATACTTGTCCTTTACCTAAGGAACAGCTGGCAAAATTTTTTTCTCACACTATGGGTTTTCTCTTCACTCTGTAGGTGGTGTCTCTTGCTGTGTAAAAGCTTTTTAATAAGATGAGAACCCAGTTGCCAATGCTTTGTGATAGCTTCTGTGCGATTGGGTTTTGCTCATAAAGTTTTTGCTTACCCCAAAGTTTTCAAGAGTTTTTACCTATTCTATCTTCTAGCAGATTTAGTGTTAGCACTGTGAAGGTATTAATTCCACATAATTGTACATTTACAAATAGTTAAAATAAATATTTATAGGGGCTGGGGATTTAGCTCAGCAGCATAAGTGCCTGCCTCGCAAACAGGCAGTCGTGAGTTCTATCCCTGGTATCGATAAAAACGAAAAAGACAAAAAAAAATGTATATTTTCCCCAATAATGTTTTTTTATAAAAATTTAAATGTGGAAAAAAGTGTGTGAATATGTACAGGTGTGATCAAAACATATGATGAATGTTTAAATTCTTTTTTTTTTTTTTTTTGTCTTTTGCCTTTTTATTGGTACCAGGGATCGAACTCACGACTGCCTGCTTGCGAGGCAGGTGCTTATGCCGCTGAGCTAAATCCCCAGCCCTGAACGTTTAAATTCTTAAAAATTTATTATACTAACAGACAT